AACCCGGCCCCCGGCTCAAAAAGGTTGCCTACCCCTGGTCTAAACTTTCAAGGAGCTATCCAGGATGCTGAATCTATTGTGGGGATAGGGTTCAGCTCTTTTAAAGTTATGCCCTTTAAAGTATGGGACAACCAATATGTGGGACAGACAACATAAAGAACCTGACTGTTCCTATTTACCACATATTATTTACTAACGCCAGATGGAATGCTTTCTCTTCAGAATTGCTTTATCATAGGTATGGTGAAGAGATGGGTGGCAGCAAGAGACCAAGGGTGCAGGAGATCCTCCACAGTCATTATTTTTGTTTTCCTTATGTTCAGCATAACATAAAGAATGCTGAGAATACTATGGATAGCCAAGAAAACTCCCCACACAGGGTTGTTGTAAGGATAAAGTAGAGAGTAGAGAACCACATTCACTGCCTTCACATCACAGAGGAAGGACAATAATGTTAGGAAAGGTGGAAGAGAGTAGAAACAGAGGATGGCCACATGCTAGATGGATGGATTTTATTAAAGAGACCATGAATATGAGTTTGCAGGAGCTGGGCAGAGCAGTAGAGGGCAGGGGGGCCTGGAGAGGTCTCATCCATATGGTTGCCATGGGTCGAGATCAATGCGAAGGCAGTTAACAACAACAACAAATGGGGACATCCACTGATTTACTTACTTACCTACTATTCTGCTTTTCTTTCAGCACAAGATTCAAGGTGGCATATAATTTTTTAAAAACACAATGTAATTTAAAAATTCCCTGTAGTTTAAAAACTCATGGAGCCAATGTTCTGTAGTGATTTGCATGTTGGACTAAAACTCTGGAGATCAGGGTTCGAATCCCTGGTCTGCCATGGAAACCCACAGAGTGGTCTTTGGCAAATCACTCTCTCTCAGCCTCAGAGGATGGCAATGGCAAACCTCCTCTGAAGAAATCTTGTCAAGAAAACTCTGTAATAGGGTTGCCTTAGGGTTGCCATAAGTCAGAAACTACTTGAAGGCACGCAACAACAAACTCAACTTAAAGCACAGTTAAATTAAACTTCAATTTAAAACTTCAGTTTAAAAAAGCACAAGTTAAAAACAGCATTAAAAAGACATTTAAAACATAATAAAATAAAATACTACATTCCCTCCTTATTACTGACAGTGTCTACAACAACATGCTAAAAACCAAATGCATCCTTAATTTAAAAAAATATATTTTTCTGACAGAACAATGTGCACATTACAGGACAAAAATGTGTAATGAAGACTGAGCAGCCCCTTCTTCTTTGCAGCACACTGACAGGAGGCTGTGTTTTGAAGCTGAAAAGTAGCAGAGGGTAAAGGTGTGTTTGATTCTTCACCTGCCATTATGTTGTTCTTTAAATCACCCTCCTAATTTCACAAGCTGTTTTTATTCCTGCTGAATTTCTAATTCATTTCTGTTTACTATGTAAACACTGATTCAGAAGGGGGGAGATTCACACTGAGAAAGCAGGTGGGTTGGTATTTCAAAGGAAAATGGCTCCTTAGTTCTCCATCCCATACATATTGCAAGGGTACTGTGCAAACAAACAACATTTAGAAAACTTTCTTTCTTATACTGCAGCTCCCAGAATCCCCAGGCAACATGGGATGAATTATGAGAGTTGCTGTCCAAAAACATAACTTTGGAAAAGCTTTGTAAAGGACAAGGGACCTTTAACCTACTTTTACATACAGATGCAGAACTTGGCTAAGTTACGTTTTGGACAACAACTCCCAGAATTCCCCAACCAGCATGGCCAGTTACCAGACTGGCTGAGATAGCCTGGTAGAGATCATCCCATACATTTTTTTTCTTCCAAATTCTGAGTATAATGCAGTTTGGACTTAATTTGCTGCAGGTTGTTGTTTCTTAATTGACTTTCTTTCAACTTTATTTTCTGATCATCCTTTTCTTCTTCAATTTTTGTAACTGTTACTTTCTGTTTGCATTTTTGCCCCATGTGCTATTATTGTTGGGGTGATTTGTGCGGCCCTCTTTCACAGAAACAAGAATTTTTAGTGAGTGTGTCATCAAACTGCACTTACTTAGATTAGTTAAGCAATGCCAGTGGTTTAATAAAAGCAATGACCTGGGAAGAGCACCATATTACCTGTCCAGAATCAGTTGCTGGATAATAATATTTACTTTAACACATCACTGTATTCCTCCATGTGTTGACAGTGACATGAAGTTTAAAGAGAGTGGCTTAGACAATGCCTCTTTGTCACTAAAATGAAAGGGGGAGAGAACATATTGGCCGCTGCATCATCTCCTCCTCCCAATGCCCATACAATCTGCTCACTCATCACACTGCACCACCTGAAGACTACCTGGCATGACTCGAGAGGCATCTCCCCCTCCAGAAACAATGAGG